GGGGGGGGGGGGGGGGGGGGGGGGGGGGGGGGGGGGGGGGGGGTTGTAACGGGGTCTCAGCAAATCTTCGTCGACGAGAGGACCAAGGCGCATATGATGTTGGCGGGGGAAAAGGGCTGATACGAGATTGGAATAAGGGGGTGTAGACGCCACGGGACGGGTTGTTTGGTTTGGTTTGGCTTCTCGGTTTCGGGGTACAGTGTGGTGTGCTGCCGTCTCTCTATTTTAGTGATTCTTGTGTACGTATTACCTCGCCGGCCGGACGAAAGCCTAAAGGGCGTTTCGGTCTTGACCCGGACAACTGCGCATTCAGATCGATCAAGTATGCCATAGAGGACTGGCGGGCTACTGTGTCGTATGTATGTGTGCGTGTCTTTAATGTTTGCATCGACCGCGCTAAGCGGCTGACCAATGAAAATTCGTCTGTCAGTGGAGCTAGAAACGTTAACATGCTTCTTAAGGTCATGGCCGTGTGTGTTGGTCATTGTATCCACCGCGCTAGTCGGCTTTTTGTGGTTGAAATGTGTCGCGTTGTGTGTGCGGTTGGGCGGGATGTGTCCATGTCGACTGGGCTGATGGTGCCGCGGCCTTGTGTGCTTGTTTTGGTCAGGGCTACGGCTTGGACATGGAGAAAGAGATCGGCGTGGGGCTGCAGGCCAACGGGGAGTACCGCGGCCGCTGCGTGGCGCACATGGATGCCATCTACTGGGTGAAACGGTGAGAGGAAGAGAGGGATAGCGATAGGAGGGGGGCGGGGGAAGACCAAAGTTGAGTTAACGAGGAGGTGGCGGGGCTCTTGAAGCCGAAGAGCCGAAATCAAACCATTAGATTCGTCAGAGGTAAAGAGGAGGTGGTAGGCAAGTGAGGCCGACAGCCAAACTCAAGCCATTGGGCTAGTCAGCGTGGACAAGTCCATTAGTTGGATTTCGGCTTCTACTGCGATGTCTGCGATCAATCGTACCCCGAGGATGTCATGCCTCGGATCGTTCCGCTACCCCCCTCCACCCAAGCCCTTCCGGAGGACGACCACTTGATCCTGTTGTTGTTGTCCGCGGTAGCGCACGCCTTTTACTAGTGTTGTGGTGCTTGTTTTGAAGGCAGTCAGTCCGATGTGGCTGCGGTTTTGTGGGGGTGCCGATGGCGGAACGTCTGCTTCTTTGGTTTGTGGGCAGTTGGATCAGGTCGAGAGTCGAAGGCGGTCGCTATTCGGAGAAACGGTTGCAAACGAGACGTGTACGGGCAATCTACGGTATGCATGCACGCGCATCCACCCGTTTCGAGGAAGAAGCACATGCATCCATGCGCCCAGTTGTTGTTGTTGTTGTTGTTGTTGTTGTTGTTGTTGTTGTTGTTGTTGTTGTTGTTGTTGTTGTTGCTGTTGCTGGTGGTGGTGGTGGTGGTGTGCTGTTTTTGCTTGTGCCGCCGCTGCTGATACTGCCGCTGCTGTGTTGCGTGTCGTGTTTGCACCCCCCGTGCACTGCTGGCCGTCCCGACAACCCGAACGGGTCACAGGGACTCTTACCTGCCGCAAGGCTCTCACGGTCTAAAGGCCGTCACCAAGTACAAATTAGGTGAGTCGTCGATTGTTGTTGTCGTCTTCGTCGATATTGTTGTTACCTCCCCCTGTTTCCAAACCTGCGATCCCGTACGGGTGGAGCAGGGTTGTGCGATAAGTTCCCCCCTGTCCATAGCAAAACGCCCCTCCCTGTCCTCGGTCCCCCGAAAGTAGCTGCGTTCCAATGGCGACTGCCTCACAAGACACGCTGTACAATATCACGAGCGAGGGGATATACGATAGTCCTCCATAACCTCCGCGTCTCTTCCCCCCCCCCATCCTCTGGTTCATTCTGGTGAAACGTAGCCCGGGCCGGCGAACACCGGGCATATCGCTCCGTCCCTGTGATGCGAGGTCAATGGTCTAATGACTACGGCATGCGTTTACATAAGTACCCTCCCCCCCTCCTCCACTTGTTGGCCCGCCTCACTAAATAGGGTACGACCCCGTGGAGGTGGACCCGGAGGACATGGTGAGGTACGCGTCGGAGAGGCCTACGGAGATGGCAGCCTACTCCGTCTCCGACGCCGTGGCCACCTATTACCTCTACCAGACCTACGTGCACATGTTCGTCTTCAGCCTGTGCACCATCATCCCGATGGGGCCGGACGATGTGCTGCGGAAGGTACGAAACGTCGCGTTGTATGGTTTTGGGAGAGAGGTGTGCTGAGCGGGAGGTGGGTGCGGGAGAGAATTTGAGGTTTGCCGCAAACCTGTTGGTTGTGGCGGCTGTTGCGATGGTGACTGTCCTTGTGAGGGTTTCGCGTTCTTATCCTAACATGAGGAATAGCGGTCGTCTGATTTTGCTGGGTTGATGGTGTCGTTGTTGGCGGTGGTGGTAATGGTGTTGTCGTGGGGCGCCTTGTTCAGTCCTGTCAATTTCCGCAGTCTGCCCAAACAAAGGATTCCCGACAAGCTGAATGTAACCCTTTCACCACTTGCTGGCTTCCCCGCTCCAACGGCGTACTCAACCCCTACCTCCCGCCGGCCTCCCTTGGGCCACGTGCTCACCTCCACCGTCATGTACGTGTGCAGGGATCCGGAACGCTTTGCGAGGCGCTTTTGATGGTGGAGGCCTACCGGGGAAACATCGTCTGTCCGAACAAGCACGTGAGGGGGGCTGGCTCGCCGTGCGTTTTCACCGTCACCACTATTGCGTGTCCTACAACCCCCCCGCCCATGTGCTCGAAGATGCTTGACGCTACACTTCGAAGTACGCGCGTGTGTTCCGAGTTTGCCCCGTCGATTCAGGCGGTCGCCCGCCATACCTGTCTCACCGACTCACTTACCCTCTCTTGCCTCACGCGTGACTTTCGCGCTCTCGTTGTACCGCGCGCGTGTCGTTTGCGCTTGCTGCGTTGCGTATGTGTTGTAATTTGTTTTGTTTTTCAATCAGTATCTGCTCCTGTTGTACATTTGGATGCTTTGTGGTTTTTACTTCACCTCTTAAGAAGCGGTGTTCTTTGCTTCCCCCAGGTGTTTTCTCTCGGTCTTGTGCATTGTCTACGACTCTCACACTGAGGTTTTCGGCTCCATTCACCCGCTCCCGCCGGCCGGAGGTTTCCAGATCCGAAGGAGTATTGATCCCTCGTTCTCCATGCTTTTTGCCGCGTTGTCGATCAGTCGGACCTTCGGCTTTCGTTTGACGGTCTCTCGTTTGTCGTCAACCGCTACTGTACTACATTGGTGTTGCGCTATTGTTCCACCAGTCCGAGCCTTTGACGAAGTTCCACGACGGCCACCTGGTTGAGTCGGAGACGTACATCGGGGGCCACGTGGAATGCCTAGAGGTAAGAAGGGGAGGGGGGCAGAGAGGTTTGGTTGTCTTTGGGGGTTGTATCGCAAGCTATGTTGAAACCGTCAGATATGTGGAGTTATCTATCAGGAATGCGCAAAGAATCGGAGATTTAATCGGCCCCCCCGCAGATTGTCTAGACTCGCGAGAAATGGCAGAACTACAGCATTGGTGTGCTTTTGTGTCGCGCAAGTACACAGTCTAGTCTTGTTGTTGGGGATTTGGCGATGTCGGAAACAGACACCGAGAGTCACGAGCGACATGTCGACGAGACGAGACAGCCTACAACGCTATGTAGCATGAAGAAGAGTCTCTCTCAAGCGTTTGGAGCGCTGTAGATTGCACGCATGCCACAACCGAGTTTCTGTCTACTCAGCGTACAACCGTGACGCCCCACCCCGACTGCCACGGTCCTTTTGTGTCATTTTCCCATCCCCGACGCTTTTACGCGTGAAACGTCTTCTCGTTGGACGTTTTTTGAGCGATAGTTGCCGTGGTTTTGCGATTGTTGTCGTGTTCCGTGTTCCCCACGATTTTATCCAGACGGGAGTCTTTCGGAGCGATCTCCCGGAGAAGTTCAGGCTGGTGCCGAGCGCGCTTCAGGCGCTGATCGACAACGTCGACCGAGACCTGACGTTCGCCATCGAGGTCGAGAGCGGGGTACAGCGCGACACCGTCAGCAACTACGACGAGGTGACGTCATAGGTTTGCGGTTGTTTTTATCAGGCGTTCGTTCGTTGTAGAGCTGGCGGTGGTGGTGGCGTATTGGTTGACCCAGGTTGATGGCACTGCTGTTGTTTTGCTTCGGCGGCATTCCCTCTTCAGCAGCAGCAGGAGCAGCAGCAGCAGCAGCAGCAGCAGCAGCAGCAGCAGCGAGGCTTGCCCTCTGCAGGCATCTCGATGCTGCGAGCGAATTCGCCACCCCTGGTTTGCATCTCGAGGTGGTCGTCACTTTCGTTCATTCGAGACAATGTCCAGAGGAGGGTACAACGTTTAACCTTTGTGGTCCTCGTTCACTCCTCCGGACGGGACTTGCGTACGTACTCGTCCGTTGCCACAGGTGCGCAGCGAGATCATCGAGCAGCTAGAGATGCTGAGAGACAGCCCTCTCCGCGAGGAGGAGCCGTTCATCTACCACCTCGACGTAGCCGCCATGTATCCCAACATCATCCTCTCCAACCGGCTGCAGGTTTGTCGTTGTGGCCGTCGTGGTAATCGTGGTGGTGTTGGCATTTCGTTTGAGCGACGGCGGTGGTGTGGGTGGGCTGATCCATATTGCTTCGTCCTCTTGGAAGGGGATGCGTGTGATTTTTATACTTTCTGGCTGTGAAGAAATCCCCATCGCGTCTCCATCGCTCAGTAGCCTACGCAGGTTTCTGCAAATGTACTGGATAAGGTACAGAATCGGCTGAGTAGGGTTAGGGTCTGCGTGCCCCCTCCTGATAATTATTCGTGATAAACTTGCTTTCGTTGCGTCGGCAGTCCCCGCGCTGGAATAGTACTGATGTATCCAATGTAGTGCACCGTATCGTGGCTACCTTACCCGTGTTGTGTCGCTGCCTCTGTTTGCTGCGGAAGTGCCAGGCAACAGTTTGTATGCGCTTTGTACGTTAAACTGCTCTCTGGCTCTCCTGCTCCTTCTTCCTTCGTGCTCAAGTGCCTGTGTTGATGCTTCGTTCGCAAGCCTGCTCCCACCTTAGCCCCTGCCCCCCAACTTGCCCGATTTGGTGTCCCCCCCCCCCCTGTTTTTTACGCCTCCTTTGTGGCCCACCACCCCCCCCCTGAAGCCGGGAGCTATAGTCAACAAGGCGATGTGTGCGTCGTGCGACTTCAACCAAGAGAGCAACAACTGCAAGCGGTCGCTAACTTGGAAGTGGAGGTGCGCCCGCCTTCCGTGTGACGAACGCCTCACCCCTTCCCGACGAACAGGGTCCTAGTTTGACTCAACGTTTCGATTCTAGAAGTGTGTGTGGTATTCCCGTATTGATGTGTCTTTTTTCTTTGCATCGACCGTGCTACCCTGCTGACCAATGAAAAGCCGTCCGTCTCAGTGCGGCTAAAAAGCAGGGAACACGCTGCTAGAGTCCATAGTCGGGAACCTTCATGAGGTGCCATGTGTCACGTGGGATGTGTGTGCGCAACGAGGTGTTCCTCGAGAACCTCGCCCTGCATATGGAGAACGCGCTAGCACTCTCCCAAACCGTCACGTCCCGTGGCGGAATCCCGCCTCCCACTCCGGCTTCCGGTGTATTTCTACCCGCGGGTTCCCGTCGCCGATGTCTTGCGGTCAACCGAACACACGAACACATGAGGGGGTGCAGCGAACCCCAAGAATGAGTGCTGTCGCCTTGACCTCCATGCAGCGTGTGTCGCCAGTCTGTCGCGAGTCGGAATCTTCTCGTCCCCTTTGCGGCAAGAGCGGGGGCACCGTCCTGACTGACTCTCTCCCGATCGACACCCCCCTCCTCACTGCCCTCTCCCCACCCACCCCTCTTTGCCGTCTACGAGCATCCGCTTCCGACCATCCTTCCGTTCTGTCGTTCTCTGTTGCTGCGCTGTGTACCATTATTGCTGCTGTTGCGATGATTTCAGGGGTGCTTCCAACCATCCCTCTGTTATTTCCCTCTGTGTGCGTTCTTGTTGTTGTGCTATGTATTGTCATTGCCGTTGTTATTGCGACATGAGCGGTGCTTTCGATCATCCCTCTGTTCTCTCTCTGTGGGCACGTTTTTGTTTCGTCCTGCTATGCGCTGTTATGCTGTGGTGGCGGCAATATCAGGGGTGATATGACCCCCGCATCGAGGACCGAGTACCAGAGCGTGAAGATGCAGCTCACCTACGAGAACGTGGATGGGAAGCCCTTCGTCGAGCTACAGTGAGTGCCACACTGATGACTCTCTCTGGGTAGCGGACTCGCTGTAATATTTCCGTGCTGAAATGTCTTGATGCTGTCTACCGGTGACAAAGTTTCTTTTTTGTGTTGTGGTCGGCGGACCAGATGGAAAAAGCAAGAACATCACCCTTCGACTCGCGTACTGCTGTGCGTCCCTGGTCGTGTTACCTCTTCTCTGGTCCGTGGCTTTGGCTTTCAAGTGTACATTGGTGAATTTCCTTGACACTTTTGTAAGATACGGTGTTGTTTTTGGTGAGCGACCTGAAAGCGAGGAAATAACGCCTCGACCAAGATACACTCCCGGGCCTTGCTGTGTTCTGCGATTACTGCTGTACCTTTTTTTTTTGGCAGATTTTCGCCCCGAAGAGTACACAGCTTGAGGAGGGTACCCTGTGTACAGATCGGAACGTAGATAAGGCTGTTGATGTGAAGACGGCAGTTTGGCAGCGCCTATTGAATTGTTTTGCCATCACCACACTTCGTTCTTTTTTTTTTTGCTCAGCGAGGCGGACCAGGCGACGAACGTTCGAGCACGGCTGAAGAATTACGCCCACAAGGTCTACAAGAAAACTAAGGTAAGCCAACACCACTGTTGTTGCTGTTGCTGCAAGTTGACTCAGCAAGTTGCAACGGGCGTATGCCTTGGAAAGCCATATCCTTCTCGAAGCGGTTGCCTTCGCCGAACACCAGCCATATCGCGATCAGACCTACCTCTTCCTGAAATACCCGTCGTATCCATATCCCCACCCGTAGCATCTCCTTCCCACTGCTCGTTTTTTTTCAGCCATTTTTGTTCGCACCGTATCTTCTTGTACCTGGCGCATCTTTTGGCGCCATCACCTGTCTCCCCAGTGCCCTTCCAGCTCGCCCCGTCCCCTTACTCCACCGCCTCCGAATTTCATTGGCCGTATGAATATCCCAGCCGTATCTTGCGTTTACCCGCCGCATCATTCGTTTACCGGCCGCGTTTTCCGTTACCCCACCCACCGTCGGCCAACGCTTGTCCACGGCGGCATCCTGGAGCAAATACACTACATCGCAGAGGGACAACCCACCCGGGACGCTTCTCCTCCGTGCCCTTCCTTCTCTCCCGCTGCACAATTTATTTTCACGGCTACAGTACTGCTGTAGCACACGAACCCGGCGGGTTCAACACCAACCCGCCCTGTTACTTCCTTTTTCGCGAACATATCTTTAATTGTCTCGACATACAGTTCGTTGGCCCGCCGAATCTAATTCATTCCCCAGGTCGAGGTCGAAATACCCACCGTGCGGAAGATTCCCCCCCGTATCTTTCGTTCGCCTCACCATACGTTCCTTTCCTCAACGTATTTGCCGTTTACACGGCGAATCTTTCGTTTATCCCACCATATCTTTCTGTACCCGCGGTAACTTTCGTTACCCACTAATGTATCTTTCATCTTACCCACGATGTCTTCCGTCTACCTGCCGTAAATTCCGTTTACCCGTCGTAAGTTCAGTTTATCTTGTTGCCACATCTTCCTGTACCCGTCACATCTCTCATCTATCCCACGATGTCTTCCGGTTACTCGCTATAACTTTCGTTTATCCTCGCAACTAACCTTTTGTTATCCTACCATATCTTCCGTTTACCCGCCGATATGTTTTATTTTAACCAACGATGTTCCGTTTACCCGCCGTAACTTCCGTTTACCCGCCATTTAACTATATACCACCATATCTTCCTGTACTCGCCGCATCTCTGATGTATCCTTCAATGTCTGTTGTTCTCTCGTCTCCAAGTTTGGATCACTTCTAAAAATATTGTATTTGTTTGGACGAGGCCTCCTGTCCCGTCAGAGCACCTACGCAAACTTCGTTCCGCACGCTCAATATATTACCCATAGGATATAGTCCATGAGCCGCCCGATAATACCTCGATTCTAGACATGCCGAACCCAATATTTTTATACGGTGCGCGTCCCCACGCCACACGCGCTAACTGCTTCGGTGAAACCTTCGTTCAACCGCAACCTATCCGCCTGGCCATAGGCACTGTCCAACTTCCGCCGTTTCCCTTTTTCGGCGGGGCCAGTCGTCTGCCCGATGTAACCCCTCGCCACCGATTCGGTTTCCCAACCACCGAGCTTCATGATTTCGTCGACTGCCGTACCTGCCGGAGACTCGCTGAGAGTGCCTGCCGCATATCTCTCATGTACNAGCACTGTCCAACTTCCGCCGTTTCCCTTTTTCGGCGGGGCCAGTCGTCTGCCCGATGTAACCCCTCGCCACCGATTCGGTTTCCCAACCACCGAGCTTCATGATTTCGTCGACTGCCGTACCTGCCGGAGACTGGCCGAGCGATCTCCAACCCGAGTACCCGCCGCTCTCATGTAACCTACGATGTCTTCAGTTTACCCACCGCATCTTCCGTTTACCCTACTACTTCGAAGCATCGTACCATATCTTCCGTTTACCTGCCATACCTTTCGTTTCCCCGCCGTATCTGTGTATCTATTATTTAACCCATGATGTCTTTCGTTTACGCGCCGTACCTATCATCTATCCCACGATATCTTCCCTTTGCCCGCCGTGTCTTCCGTTTACCCGACTATCTTCTACTTCCGTACCAACTTTCGTTCACCCGCCGATATCTGTTATGAAACCAACGACGTCTTCCGTTTACCCGCCGCAACTTCCGTTTACCCGACCTAATTCTGCCAGCTTTCCGTTGACACGCCATATCTTCCGTTCACCCGCCGATATTTTCATTTAATCAACCGACACGTTCCGTTTACCCGCCGTAACTTCCGTGTACCCGCCATAAAACTATATCCTACCACATCTTCCT